TATACGAAGACTATTGGGAGTATTATACGACCACTTATTGGGAGGGGGTGTGCACCCCTGTGCACACGCTTTTATTTGTGCGTGCGTTTGTGGATACGCGCTTTCTTTGAAGTAAAGGCGTGCGTCTATTTGTGAAACGCAAACCGTCTTCAGACGCAATTTGAACAGCGTCGCCTACGGGATTTACTCGTTTGCATATCAGAAACCTTCTGAGAAGCTCTTAGAAATGCTTCGTTGGAGTGCCAGTTGAAGTGTTCTTTTCGTCTTTGTCAGTAGCGCCATAGAGAAATAAAAGGTTAAGAGTGGACACTCCCGTAGACCCCAGCGGCCCAATCGACCCTAGCACACCTAGTGGTTGGTGAGAGCAAGCGGCGTGCGCTTCCTGTTTCGGTTTCACTGGCGCAAATTTTGAATTACTTTGCATAACCGACGTTTGGCTATGACGAAAGTTCATGATTTCAGACCACTATTCATCGCCCAAATGGATAGTTTTTGTAGGTCGTTTTGATTTAGCGATTCCCTGTTTTGTTCAGTGGTTCGTGCGAATCGGTCGTGACGTAATTTTTATTTCGGTTAAGTTATAATAAAAAGAGATGCAGGTAATGATAATTCACTACGGTTTTATTCATCGCGCTTGTGTTTTTCTTTTGGAACGAGTGATCAATGTATATATCAGTCAAAGGGACAGAGTATCCGTAATGTTTTATTCAAAGGCAAGGCAGAGTCTGAGAATATAAAAAGCACAATATGGCAAAGGTAAAAAACAAATGCATCTCGCCTTACAAATAAATTGTAACAAACACGGAGAGAACACAGACAACGCACACATCGCTAGAGTTGGCAGAAGCCGAGAAGCTGGTGAAGTATGACACACCGGGCCAGTGGGTAAGTAAGGATCTATGCAAAAACACAGCGCACAATGCTGATGAAGAAGGAAGAAGTGACATATACACAGCAATGAATACACAGTGTCCCTACTCCTCATAGCGGGTAACCTAAACAATGTATGCAACGAAGGAGTGGCTAGTCCAGTTGAGCTGAATATAAGGATATAAGACCATAATGAAGTCTGCTGTAACGAAGTAATGACATAACAAAGCTATTGCAGGATTCGGCTCAACTCGAATACTTTAGTGTAAACCCGCCGCTAATTGCTGACCTTTGAACTTGTCAAGCTGTATGCCTAAGATTGAAGACTGGAACCTAACCCTATCTAAGTTTCGGTTCACAAAACGCACATGCCAACATAAACGAACCCGGCAAAACATTTTCAGAAACTTCGCGGGACACCCAGCAGAGCAGAAATGAAAATCGCCAACACTTGACAGATGGTGATACAAAACATCGCACACTTTCAGGTGATGTGCAGTGGCCTCAATTATGGCAAGAAAGTGAGATTCAAGTTGTTGTACGTATGCAAAAGCTGCTTCTGGTGGCACAGGGAGATTCCCAAAAAGTTTGCTGGGGACGTGGTATGCTTTGAGCATTGTGAAATACTGGTGGGTACCCTTAAGCGTCTCACTGTCGTCTTTCAGTAACTGTGGGCAACTGCAACCGTCACATGCATTCCGAAGGAAGTGTTTGATGAGAAAACCAGCTACATAATATGCAGCGGAGTCATCGATAATATGGGAGTGAACGTTTGTCGCAAGTTCAGAGAGATCGTCTAGAGCGGGAAAGTCGTCAGGCTGTGGCTGTGCACACTCCTCATTATCCACAAGAGACGCACTGGTGAGGGAGAATGGCGAGAGCTGCTCCTGGAGGAGGTCACATTCATCATCCTCGACATTTCCGTATTCTGACAGCTTGAAGAGTTTTCTTATGCAGATGTGCTTCAGACCACAAATAAATTGTGCTACATTGGGGTTGGTGTTGCAACCCTGTTTTTACCTAATGTGGCCAAATATGTTCTCCAGAGGATCCTGTTGAAGCCTGCGTGTTAACAGGTATTCAAAATTGTAATTTTTGGAGAGGTCGTCCCATAGTTGACAAATTGCCTGAATTGTAATTTGCCAACCTACGATAGTTTGTCCATGACGTCTGCCAACAAACTGCCATGATGCAATCCAGGGAAGCTGGCCTCGGAGGAAGTCAATCAGCTCTGAATCATTTTTCATGATTGCATGCCGCAGCTTTTGCGAAGTTCTTTTTTTTTACTCGAGCTGTTCAAGGCATTGAAAATCCTGTCCATACGATCACAAAATTGAGCTGTAGTGATGGCCGAGGCAGGCAGCACCTTCGCATACACCAATGCCGTGATAGCAATCGAAACTGATGCACTGAGGACCTGAGTTGCTCTGCTGACCTTCATATTAGAAAAAGGTTTCTGATGAACGTGCCGTTCAGTCAACTTTGGAGCCAATCGCAACCGCAACTCATGTGAGGATTGGTAAAGGCTTAAAATGTGCGACCAGTTAACGATGTCATCCCCAATGTATAACTTGTGTGCTTGGACATTATTGCGCGTTGTTTTAATTAAATGCGGAACATCAAAAATGTAATATACCCGCTCACCATTAACTTCAAAAAAAGGCTTTGCTACAGTCACTCTTAGTTGGTTAGCGAGACTTACATTTGAACTGCCCTGGTCACAAATGACTGCTTTCACTGCAATATTAATGCTCCTAAGTTCCAAAATGAGTGATGCATTACAGATGATGGTGTTGATGTGTGCCCTATAGTAAAAGCAACCGGTTGAACCCACTTTCTCGAAACGCCAACAAGAAGAAAAACCAGTGCTCGATCAGCGATGGTTGAAGTGCGATGAGTGCCATCATCTGTAAAACCCTGGACAACGTCTCTTGCAGCATCATAGTACAAATTCTTTTTGAGTGCTATTTCGTCGAAAACTAAAGCGCACACTCGGTCCCGTTCATTCCAAGCTTGAGTATTTGTTGCAATGGAAGAAAGGATTCCTGGAATTATGCCTGGAGTCATCTTTACATTAGCTAGCCACCTCTCTAATGAACGCCGGGATGGCAAAGAAAAATATGGAGCCAGAAATCGGTATGCTCGCGGACCTCGGAAGTTTAAGTGACGAGCAAATTTCTTGAACCACACGGGAAACCGCTTGCCCTTGCGTTTGGGCCTCAAGCGAACATGTGCAGAAAGAAGTTTAAAAACCTCCTCGGTGACGTGCGGTCGGATAACTTCAAGGGTTTTTGAAGTCGACGGTGCTTGGTGAGGCTGTCTCCGCAGTCTTTTGATAGTTTTCCGCTGTGCTGCTACTTTGGCTTGCAGATGTTTAATGGTTTGCTTGTACTTCAATGATGGAGACATTGTCGCTGGCACACAGGAACGCACTGCAATAAACAAAAAAATAGATGTAAAAGCGAAGAACAACTAATCCCATACGAGCACTTTCCTCGCTCTTTCAGATCCAAGGTGCACAACTTTCTGTGGTGCAAAGTTTTCGATTCCACTACCTAAAAACAAACCATTCACAATGTTGACAATGCACAAAAAAATAAAAATCACTGATAGCCCACCCTTACATTTTGTAAGTGCACACGTAGTGTCCTTTTGAGGATAGTTTCCTCAGAATGTCCTAAACATAAAATAGCACATTAAAAACAGCTGCAATGAAAGCATAGTCACCATTTTCTCTAGGGCACTCAGGCGTGGAGCTGTTGGCGGAGACGTCTTCTGGAGGGTTTTGTGAAGCTTGTTCAGTGCCTCGGACAGTGCTGTCGGAACAATCTTGCGAGCGGCCTGCGGAAGTCTCTATATCAATCCACTCTGGTGTTGAAGTGAACATACAACTTACCGGTCACACAAGTTCCTTTTGTGACAGCTGAATGACTGGTTAAGGTTTTCTCCGGCAAGACGAAGTCAGCGGAAATTCTTTCACCAGCTACAAGGGAGCTGCCACCTGCAGAGGTTTGGTCAACAGTCAATTTCGGTAAAAAAAAGAAATCGCGACACTCAACGCACCCTGTTAATCGGGGCACCTCAATGTGTGGGAGCCGCTTTTTGAAGCCTCTACCGCAGGTCCTGAAGAAATGAAATTACGACAATGTATCAGTAAGAGGCTTAAAATAACACAAACTGAAGCTCATCCGCACCTTGCAGTGCAGCTTCTGCAGCCATGTCACAGTCACTACTTGAAGCGACGCTCAGAGAACCTGCATATATGTGCAGTTGGTACAAGTTACAAAGCTTGTAGCATGGGGAAACTTAAACAGCTCTTTCAAACGCATAAATTGGTCGAACGTGGAAGAAAAGAGAAGGCACCAACTAGGAAACAAGTAATTTGTGATTTTTGGAATTATCAACAGTGGCAGCTTTCACTGATGAAAGGTATACGTACATGTGCACTCAGGCTTGAAGATAACGTGAAATAGCCCTTTAAAGTCTTTTAAAACAAGTTGCGCAGGTCAAGAGCATCAAAAAACGACAGAAATGTAAAGCTGCTGTTAGGAAGGTAATAGCCCACAATTCACAAAATTTAAGACTTTCCAAGTGTTACTTCTATAGTGAGGCTTCTCCATCGGCTACAAAGATCTTCATGGTTAACTGTCGCCACTGATTCAATACAAGTGGCTGCTATTGCACATATTTGAGTTTCAGTCAATCACTTACATGGTGCAGCTGGTTGCACACTGGGAACAGCCATTCTTGTAAGCCTTGTGTGCCCAGGGTCCATGAAACTTTGAGCAGTAAAATGGTCGCTACAAACCCTGTACGTTGCGTACAATAGGCTGGCCGGCTTACTAAAGAGATCATCGCCTCCAGCATACTGCATCCATGCTTTCATCCTGCATTGGCAATGAACTATCAGCTGAAAGGGGAAGTGCTTGAATAGTGATTTTTTATTGTTACCCTCACTGAGCAAGTACTAACAGTAAGCCTAAAGAAATGCAAACCATACAAAAGCTTTAACACACCTGCCGTCCCGTGGTATGCGGAAGAAACTCGTCCCAGGCTTCTTGTGGGTTCTGCCATAGTTGAAGCACCACGATACACAGCAGTAGCTGCCGTAGCTTGGACCGCCGGACGGCATGGCGTCAGCGCGGTCTGAAATTGTTAGTAAGTGCATGCTTCGCTGTCAAATTACGAAAAAGATATGTGCACGTCATAAGTGTACCAACAAACCCCTTTGAATGATTAGCTAATCGATCCACAATACAAAACCAGTGATACATCTCTGACCCATAAAACTTTGACTTGCAAAGATGTACGTCAAGACCACGTACAAAGATCTTCAGAAGTTTCCAGGTCGCTATCCCTTGTAATGCAATGGTATCGCGGCCTGGGAACTTTAGAACACCTTCGTACGTACGCAGTATCAGCAGTACCTTGGGAAGAAAATCGTAGTTGAAATTTATGCGGTAAAATTATATTGGAAACGTCAAAAAAATTTGTGAGCAGCTTGCACTAGTGGCACAAGGCTAGCGAAAAAACGAAGATGATGGCCACTTGGCTAGTCCAGATTTGCCTCCAGCACACCAAGAATTATTCGTGTTCCGAGCCTTCGGGAAACGCGTCGTGAACCATGCGAGGCCCAGCGAATGCTTCTCAATATTTTGCACCGAGCCTATGACCTAGCTGCCCAGCTACGCTCAGCGCACAGACGCTCGCGTCCGTGGCAGACGCAGCACGCGTCGCCTCGGCTTGACGCCGTGCCGCCTTTGCCATACTGCATACGTTGCATAATGTTCCCGTCTAGCCGCCGCATAGAGCCACAAACTTTCTTTTGAGCGAACCTCCCAGTCCTTACAAGCTTCAGAAAAAGGTTATTACAACTGCGTGAATGAGACGCCACGTAAGAAACAAACTCGCAAACTCGAAGCGCAACGTGTGTGCGTGCATCTTTCTATGTTTGTTGCATGGTGTCTTATTCGCGCAAGTGTAACCGTTTTCTGAAAAAATGACCCAACAAGACCAACAACATGTCATTCAACAAGCTTCGCTTGAAAACGTGCTTCACCTGTTATCTCACGCACGAAAACGCCGACGCAGCCGACGTTGACGAAAGCGACGAAAGCTTCTCGCTGTCAGTCATGCATGGGCTTGTCGCTGGGTAGATGGTGTTTATGACAGTACGGCTGAAGAAAAATAATCGCGTAAGGTGCGTTGAATAAATTGTTTTTTTTTATGTATAAAGAACATACCAAATTTGGGCGTATAATTATTATTTTGTAAAAACATATTTGTTGCATTGATTATAACTGTTTTTTTTTGCGCTTGCGCCCTCTGACATTTGGTGAGAGCACTAGCTCGTTACGTAGTCGTGACGCACTTCCTGAGGCCAGGTTTCGCGGAGTGTCCGCTCTTGTCTTCTTCTTTCTCTATGGTAGCGCTGCGTCAGTCATGTAATGTGTGGAATTTCACCGTGTGCCTCATAAATAAATATTAGGATCTGACCGCTGCGTTCTGGATGGGCTAGGTTAGTAACCTTCTGGAATAAGGACGACAGTTATTTCTGGGACTCTTTGCGTTTTTCAAAATGTATCATTGTTAACATACAGGACTCATGATGTCATTTAGGAGCTGCACAGCTGCAGTAAACAATTGCTTCAATTTACCGGTTGCCAAAAATGCCTACGCTCGTAAGCTCGTAGAATTTATTGCCCCTTTCATTAGGAATTCTATACCAACTGATCTGGAAGAGGCAAATATTTTTTCTATGACCATGAAGCACTTTATGTGCAGCTTTGAGGTAATGTAGTTGCATTAGTGGTAATTTCGTCTGCTGTTATTCCTGATCATTGAATCGTGTTTTATTTTGTATTATTATCCAATATGTTGCCCTCTGTCACTGTTGTAATCACTTGCGTATTTATGTAGTCATGCCACACAATTAGTCCCACTACTTCACAGGTTGGCTATGAGACCAAGCAAGCGTTTTCGATATTCCTAAAGGAAATTTCAAAGTCGCAAAAGAAAGCTACACGCAAGTGGAGGGAAGGCGAGCGGCAGCAGTTTCAGATTCACTGCAAATAGGCTACATGACGGCTCGTCGGGTGACGTCCGCTCTGCAGGTTTTTCGATAGGCCTGGGCCCCGTCGTGTGGCTCCTGAACGCCGAACTGGTGCCGTGTCGTGGCAGCGGCACTCTGATCTCTATGGTGTCGGCGTTCAACTGGACGTGCGCCGTGGGAGTGACCATCTTCTTCGACCAGGTGCGAGACTCACTGCGGCTCTCCGGGCTCGGCTTCTTCTTCAGCATCGTCACTTTCATCGGGGCGATGCTCGTCACTTTTTTCCTTCCCGAGACCGGCCGAATCACGCTAGAAGAGCTGCTTCAAGAGAACCTCTTCTACGTCGGGGATGCCGAGCCACAGGCCGGTCGCAAAGGAGAGAAGAAATGAACGTATGGCACTCCGCCGATGCATTCAGGCGATATCAAAGATGTCGCATTCGTAAATATATACGCATATTTTATATAGTTAAGAACGTACATACTTGCTTCTATATTCAATAAAGTTATGAACATATAAAGAAGAATCTGATTATTCACTTCCTCATCCTGCTTGCAACTTCTGCAGCTATTCTTTGTCTTGGTTTTGCACGCACTAGTGTAATCAACCTTTGCGATTGGTCACAATACGTCAGTGGTCAAAGTTAGCGTTGGCTATCCTTGCGCGAATGCACTCTGTTCCGCGCGTAGTTCTCCTGCAAATGATAGTTATAGCGCGAGAACATAACGACGACAAAGAGAACAAGGACACGTCGTCATTCTGTTCTCGCACTATAACTATCGTCATGTCATACCAACTAGCTCAAACCTGCCACACTTCTCCTGCAAAGAAGTGATTTGCATCTGTGCAGTAGTGATATTGCTATGATACGGCCACGCGTGTTATAAGGACTCCAATAAAAGCACTGGACAATACGATGAGACAATGTCTCGCTTGCGCTTCACTTATCTAAGGAGGGTATCCCACAATAGTTATTTTTCATTGCTTGATAGTTCGAGGCTTTATATAATAAATAGCTATCCGGGTCCTGCTCGCCCAAGCTTCGTAGCGTATGTATAGCATGACACTCCTTTTTCCGTTTGTGCTCTTCCCGATCGAGTGATTGATCACGTGTTCTCTGTGCGAATATCGGATTGTGTGTGGCCATGAATAGTCATGAGTTTGGTAGCTGTTCACAGCAGCGTTAAGGCGAGTGGAATTGCTCCATTTTTACGCGGGAAAATAGGAAACCGTTGAAGTGTATTGAACGCTCATGTACATGTAAATATAGTGCACAATCAATAGGACCGCAGCGTAGACTAAACGCACAAAATATTTACAAATTCAGCTTTGTAAGCGAAGCAATAAAAATGTATTGCAATCGAGTATGTTATTGACACAGTCTCGAAACCCATAGATCTAAGCAGCAACGTTCACCTGCCTACGCATCTTGAAGTCAGAAAAAAAATAAGGTGCTGCAAATCACACGCATTGTGGCGGAGTCGATGCTATGCGAAGCAGCAAGCGAGTAGCAGACAATGCCGCAATCCTTTTTTTTTAAATTTTTAGCTAAGGATTGCTAGGTGCCCAGACGTCCCACCGCACCTTTATTAGTTGTGCTGATGTAGAGTACTCGCCAAACTCATCGGCTACAGCGAGGCCCAAAAGTAACTACCTTGCCCAAGGTGTGCTCTAATGTGAGTGCCGTGGACGTAATTGTTTAAAGAAAGGGTATTTGGACGGCTCATTTCTCTTTCTTAAGAACAATATTAACAAGTAATAAGACACACGGAAGCCCAAGAAAGTCATCAGATGCTGCATGTAATCATCATGACGCAAATGTGAAGAAAGTAAAGGGGACAAAGAGATAACTTGCCGCTGGCCGGGACGGAACCTGTGACCTTCTTCCCAGCCACGACTGGATGCATTTTGATAGAGGTGAGATTCTAGAGGCTCGTGTATTGTGCAATCTCAGTGCACGCTAAAAATGACATATGGTCGAAATTTTCTGATGCCTCCACTACGGCGTCTCTAATATGCTCATCCCAGTCTTGGGCCATAGTAAAAAAACCCAGATATTATATTAGTAGTACACTTTCTTTAGGCTTTCTTGTTCATTAGTACTAACTGCGGCTGTGATATCGTCACTTACGTTAGAGAGTAAATGTCAGTTTTATTGGCACATAGCGCACGCTGCGCTAGGGTTTTCTTTTTGTTGAGTAGCGACCAAGAAGGATGAAGAAATTTTGGAGAGGAAATTGGGCTTGGAAAGCAAAGCCAATAATTTGAAAGTTTTACCGGCAAAGAGAAACGAATGTTAGCACGCAGCAATATAAGACGAGCGTTTTTGTTACACACATAACCAGTATGACATGGGCAGTTTTATGGGCGAAGCTTCTCAGGGCCGCGCCTTGTCCGTCACGTTTCATAGAACCGAAATCGAAACTCAATACCTACACCACGAAATATGAAATCATCTGCGTTAAAAAACCGATTTTATGTGTACATCAATCAACTATATTACAGCACAATATATCGTCACATCGTCACATTCGCCATTTATCTGTCCGTCTGTCTGTGCATATATCTGTCCTTCCAGCACGTGCGAGTGTTCTCCAACTGCTTAGCTGCCCATTCATCTATTCGTCCGTCCGCGCATCTGCTCACCTGTTCGTCCATCTATCTGTGCGTCGGTCCATCTGTCCATCATTTATGCTAGTCAGTGAACTCAACCTAGATATTATGGAGCGTAGGACGTAGCTTCGCGTACACGTCCTCATTCCCTTCGTGGAGATGCGTGGGTTTCTTTTTTTTTGGGAGGGGGGGACATATAGTGCTAGACCTAAACACCCTTGTAGTTAAAAAACAGCAACGTCTTCGCAAATAGTATAGCTTTAGTGAAGTCACTAATATAGATCACGACAGGTTAGCTTCATCGAAAAAAAAAGGTATATTACAAGTTTATTAGAATTGTAGGGAACTATGCGACGCAAGCTCGGGTAGCGCGCGTGCACCAACGCTGTGGCTTGCCGTTTCATGCTGCTTCGTCGTCGTTCGCATAGTTCCCTACAGAATATACAATAACAACGCATAAATATATTATTTTTAAGCTAGCGCCACATGAAAAAGAGCATGTTGCCGAGACAAACCAGGGTCAAACCATGGCTTCACATTTACCAGTGATGCGTTGCTAGCATTTTCCATCGAGATTTTTCTTTTGTCATGTTATCCTTCAGCTAACATTACAAGCAGACTAGGGCCGTCCACATAGGTTCTTTTCTCTCGATTCTATTCCCGCACCCCTCTTTCTCTTGAACGCTTTCTGCCACGAGCATGGTTAGGCGCTGCCCCCGAGATAAACCTACCTTTCCGCAAGCGGCGACACTTTGTTACGCATGGACGAAGAATGTGACGTGAAATTATAGGACGTCCACAAATTCTGACGACTTTTGAGGTCATTATAAAGTCGTAGGATTATGTCATGACATGATTATGATGAATTCCTCTGCGTTGGTCACGTGGATGCTGACCGTCACATTGTGCGTCTGATTGAGGCAGCGAAATGTTTCGCCTTTACACTCATTGCTGTAAACATGGTCGCCGTTTGAATGAATAATCCTAATGGACTCTACTGGCTCTAGCACGCCCTTATGATGAGGTTGAATGAACAGCCAGATTCAAGGCTTGTAGGAATGCGTTTCTCGGCGTGTGTGTAGAAATTTGTTGAATTTCCGAGAGCGCAGGAGTTCGTAAGAGCGCGGCGGCCCGGGGTGGATTCCTTGACAGCCTTCGGAGACACTGATCTCATGTCTGCCCAGTAGAAAATACACATGTTTTTTATTGTGTGTCTTATTGTACGTCATGTCCTAGAGAAAGTTATTAAAACAAGAGGTATATGGACCCATGGAAGTGATGCACACACTCCTGCCTTTGGCAGTGCGACGGCCCAGGTTCACATCCCACCTTGCCATAAAAATTTATTTTGAGGGGCGTACGATAACGTCACACATGAAGCTGTCCTCACCGCTCTCAAGGAGGTAGGAGTGGGCGGGCGGATGTTTCAGTGGCTACGCAGTTATCTCTCTGAGCGATGCTTTTTCGTGAGAACCGAGGATGTTGACACTTCGCTACATTACAGTCCCCGTGGTGTTCCCCAGGGTGGCATACTTAGCCCTGTACTATTCAACTTGACGCTAATAGCTCTCAATGAGCATCTGCCAAGTACTGTCAGATTGTCAATGTACGCGGACGACATCTGCGTTTGGACGTCAGCAGTAACACGTCTACAGCTGCGAGCGCGATTCAGAGCTGCCACTCAAGTTGCTATTTACCTCCGTCAACGAGGTCTGGAAATTTCCTCTGAGAATGTGAACTTGTGGCATTTACGCGCCAACCAATGCAGAACTACAGCGTTCTGATAAACAGCGAAAGGATACGTCACCTCCGATCATACGAGTTCCTATCTGTTATAATTGACAGATACTTATTATGGAGCTCACATGTATCATACTTGAAAAGGCGATTGACAGGCATCTGTCATTTGTTAAAGTTCTTCGCTGGAAAGAACTGGGGAATGTGCACAGCTGATATGTTGCGACTATACAGGATTCTTTTCCTTGGATTCCTTCGGTACAGCCTACCTGCGTTAACCAATGCAAGTAAAACAAGCATACGAATTCTTCAAAGTGTCCAGGCTCAAGCACTCTGGATTTGTTTAGCCTTGCCCCAAAGTGCATCAACAGCGGCAACTATCGCCATCACAAGAGACCACCTCATCAAGACCCACATTAATGTTGAAGTGCTGCGGACTCATATACCACACCTTGCTCGAACTCATCGACATCACCTAGCCTCTTTACTAGTAGACCGACCATGCACATCTTACTGCAAAACAGTGATTGCACATGGCGAGTCGATCCCAACTTCGTTCTCTCCTGCCGCTAGACCTGTGACTCCGCCATGGTGCCTCGCTCAACCAATGATTAATATTAACATACCTGGCGTCCAGAAATAGGCGAATTTGTCGTCACCGGCCCTTAAACAGCTCACACTACTTCTCTTGTATGAGAAATACCAAGACTCCACACATATATACACTGACGGATCGGTTCAGCCGGACAGCTCTACAAGAGCAGTATTGATACCAAGGTTGGCCACGACAATTAAATTCAATACATCTCACGCAACAACATCAACGGCAGCAGAATTGGCAGCACTTCGTGCCGCGTTGCAATTTGGCGTTGATCAACCTACACGCAAGTCGACTATTTTCTGCGACTCGAAGGCGGCACTGCAGTCTACACTATCAGCTTTACGACGTGGACCACACGAGCAGTTGGTTCTAGAGATAGCAGAGGTTATACACCACCTGACTGAGAAAGGGTACCAAATTACATTTCAGTGGTTACACAGTCACTGCGGAATCATCGGCAATTAACGGGCCGATCAAGCTGCCCGCTCAGCCCAC